TCTCTCTCTCTCTCTCTCTCTCTCTCTCTCTCTCTCTCTCTCTCTCGTTTTGCTTTCTCATAAACTTGGCATGTGAGTAATTTCAATGTGTTTAGTTTTACACTGGGTTTTTTCAGAAAAGACCCATCACCCTCTTCATGCCACCATCACTAGAAGTCCCTGAAAGTAGAATGTGTTTAAAACGCAACTCCACTCTCTTTTGTGAATTATTCTCCTCTGACTAGAAACTAATAATAAATTGATTCCAAAATTCTTCATAAAACATTCCATTTTTCCCTGAGTTTAAACACTGTGGCTTTATCTATGAATATGCTTAGCCTCCCCCTGGGTGCCTATGAGCTCCTAACCCACTCACTCCACAGTGCAGATTAGTGACGTCTGCATGAGTGAGTTAACTTTACTCAGGTCTCCTGAATCAATTCTTCAAACACCTGCAGCACGCTTTCCAACTGAGGTGAGTGTGGCAGTGACAAAACGAATCCATGACACAGTCCTTGCCCCTAAGGAGAGGCAAGATTTGCAAACACGGATTAATGAGTGAGTAACAAAATACACTTTATGATACTGAATGTGATGTGCATAATGTGGGTAATTTGTCAGAAAAGGAGGGCATTGTCCGTCAACTAAATTTTGCAGGAAATTCTCTTTAGAGGATGCAAGAAATAGAGCAAAGTAGATACCAACTCTTTCTAAATATCTACAATAATGATAGTAGTGATAATGAATTTCACTGGGCACCTGTTATATATGCTCTAGACCCTCTGCCAGGTGCTTTACGTACAGAACCCCTGATAGTTGTAATGACTCTGCAAGTTTGGTGTTCCCGTCCCATTTTGCAGATGAGTAAACTGAGCCCAATGCATTTCAGGAACTTAACCAAGTGTCACCGCTGGGATGCAAACCCAAACGATGCCTCCCGACCTCTGCCTTTTCTTGCCTCTGGTGCTCAGCCAGCCTGTGCTGGTTCAAAAGACGATGTTTTATTTGCATTGCCTGTATTGGATGCATTATCTCATTTGTCTCTTCCATACATCTTTTGAAGTACATAGAAAAAGTAATATTAGCTCCCTTTTGTAGAGGAGGAAGGAGAACAAAGCGAAAGGACACGTGAATTGCCCAGCCTCGTGATCATTCATTCAGAAATACTTTGCGCCGTTTTGCGCCCGTGTACTGTGTGGGAACCTAGGAGTATGTGGTCAGCGAATGTATGACTCCTGCACTCGCAGGGCTCAGAATCTTCTGAGCCATGAATTATGTCATCACAGAAATACATATTTAATGGCGACCTGGGGCAACTGCCGTACAGGAAAAGCTGACGTGCCTCAGGCATGCGTAGTACAGGGAGTGACCATTCCGAGAAATGGAGGACGATGCACCTGGTGGAAGGACCTGTGAGCTGGCATCTGCAGGCGGAGGGTACAGTTAACTAACTAGTTGGAAGCGGAGCAGAGCAGCAGGGGCTTGCTTGGGTCATTCCATGAACAGACAGACAGGAGGCCAGTGTTTTTGGTGCTCACAGGGCAAATACAAGTATTGCAGGGCTAGAGAGACAGACAGAGCCTGATCAAGCCCAGTCCTGTGAGCTTGTGGATGCATTTGTTTTTTACTGTAGAGAAGAGGGAAGATCCTGTGTTTTAAGCAGAGGTGTGACTTTTGCATTTTAAAAGGGTCCCGCTGGCTGCAGAGTGAGACCACACCTATTAAATGAGAGTTGGGAGGTGGGAAAGAGGCTCTTTTGGGAGTGGGGTGGGGGGAGGGCGAGGGGAGGGTATGGTGGCCTGAACTAGGTAGTGTCAAAGGGATTGAAGAGACAGGGGTGGATTTCAGACATACAATTAACGGGACTTGGAGCCTGATTGACTTGGAGACGGAGGACAGGCTAAAGAAATGCAGAGCCCGTCACCTGGGAGCCCAGTCTAGGGCTGCATACAACGTGACCGGGCCTGCTGGAGCCAGGGACCCGCTCTTAATTTAGATCTTCACTCTATCTGGGCAACGAGCAAGGAGCACCGGGACTAGAGGTACGGAAACTGGGTTGGAAATGAGGCCACTTCCCAAGCTCGGCCGTGGTATTTTCGATGCTGGACTTGGACTTGTGGGCATCTGTGGGGAGGTGTGTGTGTGTGTGTGTGTGTGTGTGTGTGTGTGTGTGTGT